TTGGTAGGGCTGACTCTGCCCACTTGACCAGCGTGAGCTCCGCTTTCGAACTAGTATACTTCAGAAAATACATCACTACTGTGGTGGAAATCAAAAAAGAAAGCGATTTTCAGGTTCCCGTCGAGAATCTTCTTGGAGTGGAAGGTGAAGGATTCAAAGTGGCGATGCATATCCTGAACAATGGCCGTTTCGGTATTCCAGCTATGTGCACCGGCGCTATGAAGCACTGCATCCAGAAAACGGTAAGAATCTGTAGACAAAGGGATTTTTAAAAATGAAGAGATTAACCAAAAATGCATTGCCCATTAAAATGACGTGGGCCCCTCCTTGCTCACAATTCGTAGGTTGACCTAACACTTCATCAATGTGTATGACGATCACATGAAAATCTTTTACGTCTCAATGGATCTATTTAGAGGAAAAGTACCTTTGTGTTTGGTAGCAATCACTACACCTTCCCCCTCCTTTCCCACGAAAAGGAAGAAAGCTCTGTGGACGACCCCTAATGAGCAAAGGTTGAGAGTCTTAATATGAGAAATAGCCTATGAGCCAACCTCCCGCGTTCACCTCGTTTCATTTTATGATTACCTCGCTAAAAACCATCGTATTGGGGTTGATTTTAGCACGTTTCAGGTCGATTCAGGTGTAGCCAACGCGGTGAAGTTTAGATCAGACGTTGCCGGTAGTTGTTCAACGTCGCAGGTGGCACTGTGAAACTTGTTCTCCTTTTTCTCTGTAAAGCAACTACTCTGACCGATCTGGTGTTCAGGAGAAGCTCGCAAACATGGTCGCTCGTCACTATGCTACCGAATCCGTTCTATATCTGCTCGCCTCAAATATGGATCGCGGAATTCAGGACTATCAGCTGGAAGCGGCTATTGGAAAAGTCGCTGCATCGGTAGGATTAACACCCTATTTCACCGAGGAAACAATACCGAAACGGCAATACAGACTTATCCTTAAACTGCAACTTAACTGCGCCCCCAGTGACATCTTTGTTAGGCTGACAGTTCTGAGACGCGTGCGGTTGCGACGCGGTCTGCGAACTCCTTACCATACTGGAATGAAACGCAGCGCGTACTTCTTATGAAAAATATGATACTTTAACTGAGAAAATGGAGGCGTTCAGGAAATTCCAATATGTATCAAATCCTAGAAATCTTGTAAGAATCTAGAATCTGGTTCCTACAGCAAAGCTTTTATGAGGGTTAGGTTAAATGGTGCTTGTTGTAGAGTTAATAGCTAGCGATCAGCTCAGGGCCAAGTATGAACTGCGATTTTCATGGGTAGAACTGAAATACTGGCTTTGTGATCGATTCCCGTCCCCTCTTTGCAATGGTCTACCAAAAGTTTTTTTTCCACAGACGTATTCCACGATAGTCAGTTTGGCGGAGAACCTGGCATTCCTCGCTGGTGCACCCCTCCTTTCCACCACATTAAAGACAGAGGTGCATCAACAAGGAATGGCTGGGTGTCTCCGTCCATCTGATTATGGCCTTCGAGAAACTATCAAATGGCCGTTACAGGAAAATGCTTGGTGGGTGTGCGATGAGGCGATCCAACTGCACGGAGGCATGGGATTCATGAAAGACTGTGGTCTGGAACGGGTCATGAGGGACCTGCGAATCTTCAGGTAGGTTCTAAACTCGACGGTTCGTTGAGATCCATGTGTACAAGAACGTTTTGCAGAATCTTTGAAGGTGCGAATGACGTCTTGCGGGTATTCATAGCTCTTACCGGAGCACAACATGCTGGAAGGCACCTACAGCAAGTGGCTAAAGAAATCAAGTCTGGCGGCATAGGGACACTTTTCGGACAGGTGGTAAAGCGGGCGACTGGGTGAGAACTTTGAAGTTTTGGCGCTATTCGGCTAGGGAGGGGCGTAGCTATTTCCACCAACTCCTGTTGATTCACACGTCTACCTTAGTGGGACCTAAAGAGCTTCTAACTGAAGCCCGGACTGTTGCTTTACAAAGTTAACAGGTTACGCGTGGAGCAAAAAAGCATTGGCAGCGATCGACGGGAACCGGTAAGATGCCCCACCAAGCCGAATTGCGCCGTATTTTTTAGTGCTGAAGGACTTTTAGATCAGTTAAGATGAGTTTAGTGGTAACACCGGTGCCAATTTCTCGACCCATGTGGAACCAGCTCTGACCGAATCCTCACTTGAAGCCTGTGCGACTGTATCAAAGAATTATTGGAAAGACCGCGAGAATCTTCTCATGAAGTATAAAAAAGATATTGTCAGTGAGTATTTTAGATTGTTTCGAAATGAAAGTCTTCATAGGAGAATAGGGAGTCTAACTGACCAGTCGGGTGCTTATCGACTACCCCTGCACACGATTGCCCCGTCTCCTGCGACCACTTGTGCAGGGGGATTGTTATACTCAAGTATGGTTTGTTCCCAGTGTCGTGTCCTACCCGTTCATTAAGAACTCGCTTCTACCACTATTTTAAGATTTTTTTACTTTCTCAAAAAAGTGGGTATTTCCACTGGCTTTGCTTGGAAGCTGTGCTGTCTTTAGAGGCACATTCCACACTGATCACGTAGGCGGGACCAGATCTACCATTATGCTCTTTTCCGTTAGTGCCTCTCTACTTTGCCGCATAGGAAGTAGCGCACCAATGAGAAGGGCACATCTTTAGAACAGACTCCGCCCACTCGATGAGTGTGGTTTGAAGAGAAAATGTAGTGTGAAAGAAACAATAATTGCGATCTCTCAATGGAAACATTGATTCTTCATCAGTTTTCGTCCCGAAAAATATTCATTTCAGATAGGCAGTACGAGTTGGTACGAGTTGCTGACGCGGCTATCGATATCTATTGTATGATTGCAACGATTTCCAGGTCAGTAATTGGTACTCATGGTATAAAAAAGTAATGAGGGATCATTTATGGAGCAGAACTTGGATTCATTTTCGGAGCCAAACTTACCGGTTACTGCCGCTCCGCGCAATCGGGACGACATTATAGACGTGAAATTTTTTCAGAACTAATGGCTTTCAGGGTTCCTTCAATGGGTCGTTGGTTAGCACAAAGAAGAGGGTATCCACTTTGAATAGCGGGAAACTTTGGTGGGACACGAATCGGCTTGGTGGGACAGCGAATGGCACTCACTGACGCTTGCACAGGCCATCTTGTGGCAACCTGTAGATTCCTGCAACTAAATTTCCTCATTAGCACCACTTTGCCGCTTCATAGGGGTTTATAGGTCTCACGTCGGCGAGTTACTAATGAAGTAACGAAGAAATCAGCAAGCGGCGATTCTGCCCCCTTTCAAGCGGATCAGCCGCATTCAGCTGCTGCCGAAATGAAAGGTGACGGAACCAGCACGCGCTTATATCAAGCAAGGCACGTCTATCTGCCCTCACCAGCACAAGCGCGATCCGAATGCCCTCACGAGAGGGGCCAATTCAGCGAGGTTGATTGCCCTAATGTGCCTCCTTAAACTCTCACGTAGTTGCCGAAAATTCATGAAAAAAACACGTGGACATATTCGAGATAAATAGGTCCACGAACTTTGCGTCGTGGATGGGGCAGAACATTCCGCCTCGAATTCATCTTGTGATAGATTTCTTGGGATTAATTCGAAAAGGCCGAGAAAAGGAAATGACCAAGATAATATAAATGAAATTCAATAGCTCTAATAGTTATTAATGGTACACTTGTTTATTCAGATGCACTCACTCGTGCAAGAAGAATGCTGCCAGCGCTGCACACGAAAAGGAAATCGCTAGCTACTTCTGCAGTATTGTACGTTTTCGTAGGGGTTTCATCATATTTTGACTTTAACGGTTTTTAAACTTGCTTTGCTAAATATGGCTGTATTTAACCTGGTCTTTATTATGGCGCAGTCAAGCCTGATTTTTATTTGGCTTACCGTTTTTCAATTTTTGTAAAAATGGCGTAATTTGCTTGTGGGAGGGGCATGTCAGTAGGCCCTTGCGCCATACAAAGCTTTGTTAAGCCGTGGTAACTGCATACATACGAATTCTTTTTGGTCAATCATTTCATCCGAAGCTTGGAGCCGAGTTTTTCAAGTCTGACCAGTTTGATAAGTTTGAGTGCGTAATTTCGCTTAATTCTAATTTGATTTAACGGTTTTTTAATTGCTTTGTAAATATGGTGCATTTAACCTTCGCGTCTTTTTTGGCGAGTCGCAAGCCTGAGTTTTATTTCAGTGACGATTTAATGACGAGTAATAGCAAGGCTTTAAGGGTGTTGGCAAGGTTGTCCAGTATTCACATGTAAACACCACGAATTTGCGGCATTTTTCTGACAGACAACAGGTGCTACCCTTCCCACCCCCCCCCTGCGCAGTTATTAGCGTAGTAAATATTTATAACCCTTCTATCCGATCTGCCCAGCTACAGATGCCATTGTATTGATCATCTTTAGCAAGTGAATTGCCTAATTAATAATAACAACTGTGGGAAAATTACTGCAAAGTGTGGAGCGCTGACCAAGTGCTCCTGTCCAACCTTGTTGGGGCGGTGCCGCCCTGGAGGGGCGGAGCTTTCCTGGAGTTTCGCCAGTGCTAACAGCGAGGGTTTACGCGCATCGACTGATTATCAGCAGGATTGTTGCATCACTGTTCGAGACTGCATTTGTTTTGCTCTGAGAATTCGGTTTGAAGACGCATTTTGCGCTAACCAAGTGGGCAGTGACTCGTGACCGATGTGACCTTATGACGCTTTCTTGACTTTTTCCTATCGAGGTGATAAGCGAGGGCGCAAGAATTGTGGGTTCTCACTCGATTATGGGGAAATGAATCAACAGTTGTGGGTGTCTTACTTGCAAAGAGTGCCGCTTCGACACATATGCTGTCCATAGCTTATATCCGCGTTTTTCGAGGTCGTCAAGCTCTTTGAATTCCTGAAAAATGGGCTATCCATACTCAAGGAATGGCATCAAATCCTGGATGGATAAGAGCACAGGCTGGTTTCAATGGCACTATACACCGAGCTCGCATTCGAGTGATTCTTTCCGGTTTCGTATGGAAATCGGATGCGTGGCGTATCCCGAAGAGTATCAGCTCGGTTATATACCACCTTTCATTTCAAAAGAAATTTTCCGAAAATACTGCTGTTACATCAGACCGGGCTTTATTGTAGAAAGTTCCCCACAAAGGGCCGTTCATACTTTGGTTTGGCGATGGCGACAATTTCATTATTCTCGATAGGGAGCCCCTTCTCCCCACCCCCCCCCCAACCTGCCGATGGACTGTGGAAGAAGTGGTACTTTTGAAAAAATGTTAACTAAAACTTCTTTACCATTTTTTTTCAAACTATATCGATTGGTGCGTCATTTTATTGAGACCCTGTTCTCAGGCGTCACGACGTACGATGCAAAATCTGAAGGAAGCAGCTAAAGGTAACGAGCACGATGTGAAGCTGATCACCTCTATTGCCACTGCCGTCTGCAAGAACGGCGGACTACCACAACAACATCCAGTTGACGTCTAGAAATCAATCAATACTGATCGATAGCTCATTTGATATTCATAAGTGTGATTGTAGTCAGAACTGCCTTTGTACTCTTATAACATCATTTTGGAATAGTACTAAGCATTTAGCTAATTGATAGGTTTTATGCTCACTAATTTGACAATTTTTTGTACCTAAAGTGGCCAGTAAAATAACTGTTCACTATTTATGTGATACGCCTGTAAGATCCATGGGGGGGGGGGGGGGGGGAATTTTTTTCGCAATTAATTGTCGGGTACCGAAGAACAGTAAAGAGTTTTTATTGATAATACCGTGGAAACTGTATGGCATCTTTTATCTGGTTTTCCTTAGTACTTATAGATTTTGCCCTCATTTCTTTATTTCATTCTGTTTATTGCTGGCGTTATTTTTGCCACTGGTTTCACTTTGACTGAGCTTGTCCTTCTATGCTTTGCATTTCCTCTTATCTACAAGGCATGCGGTGAAAAGGTTCATGAAATTGCCCCTCCTCTTGAAGTGGCCCTTCCTCTGGTACCACCTCGCGCCCACACATTCCCTCTCCAACCTAAAATCTTCATTATATTTCCCCAACTTCCTACAGCTTCTCCGGGGTTTATTCCAAGACCCTTTCACTTTCTCCTTACAACCATGCGGGAAGGGGTAGTACATATATCATGCATTCTAAGCACAAAAAAAACCAAGATGATGCGGCAGACCCTTCCTTCTTCCAGTGTCCAAATGCGAACCCCTCTCTGAAGATCCCCATTGTATGTACGACGTGCCCTGACTACAAGCGGGAGCCTTTGCCCGGCCGGACCGGAGCAAGCAGCTAAAAGCAACAGGACAGTCAACGCGATCATACTAAAGGTGTCTTGCAGTGAGGCATTCAACCATTCTAACTGTCCGAATGGGCTCGGTTAGCCGGCAACAGCTATCGAAAGCTGACCATTGTTTACTGTTGTGTGCGCTGTGCAGGTGTGGCCTATTCAACGCCTACATCATTCTAGATACATCATAATGCGTAGCGTATCTCATCACTTTGTGCCCACAACCTCACTGGTGAAATAGGATGCGTAGGCATCGACTCTATTCGGACGATCCTGTATACTTGAACGACGCTCCAACGACCGCGGGTGGGCAACGAATAGATATGGGGTTCATGCTCCAAATAATCCATAAGGTGCACCCCATATCACGAAGATGGGGAGGGCGTGGCTGCGCGCTTCGTTTGGTCATGGTGGCGGATGCGCTTTTGGTGAAATATTGTCGCTCAAGGACATTCGTAAGCATGTCATAATCCAGCAGAAGTCAGGATGACATTGTTTTAAATGGGAGTATCCCACGAAAAACTCATTCGACGCCACGTTCAAACGAAGTACGCAGCCACACCCTCCCATTCTCGGGATATGGGGTGTATATAGTCAACATCCGTGCAAACGAGAGGGCATATGAAGGGGCGTAAGTTGGGGCGCAGCCAGCACAGCGTATACCCGCTAAATGATATGGACTGAGGATGACAAACTGAATGAAGTCTCTGTTCTGGTCCACATGACGTCCCCTGCAATTCTACGGTATTGCAGCGTGGGCGTAACGACTCCATCCGTTTCTGCTCGACTCGATCCTAGTTCTTTCTTCTTATAGCAGCCTCCCCCCCCCGGACCCCAGGTGGCGATGCATATCCTTTACAATGGCCGTTTCAGTATTCCAGCAATGTGCACCGGTACTATGAAGTACTGTATTCAGAACACGGTAACAATCTATAGACAAAGGAATTTTTCAAAGTTTCAGAAGTCACCACAGATACATTCGCCGTGGGAACGACGTGACCGTACCTCCCTCACATTTCGTCGGAGAGGGGGGGGTCGTAGTTGCCTTCTGTGAAATCTGAGAGAAATTCGCGGCGTTAGGAAGAATTCCCCACCCCCTTACTCGCTCGACAGCTCGATCGTATGAGTGGAGGGAACTAGGGAGGTAGTATAAAATCACCCTCTAGGGAGGTCGTATGGACTCGACCAAAATCCTCAGCTAATGATGTGCCTGACTGGGAATGGGCCAATAGCAGCAGGAGTTAGATACATATTAGGTCATCCCATTCAAAAGTGCCGTCGGTTTTATTCGAATAAAACAAAGAGGAGAATAGATAAAAAAGTAATATTTTGGCTTCAAGTTAAGTAAATCCCTCCTTCACCAATGACCCGCTCCCAGTGCCCCGAAAGCCTTTGGACCTCTGGTACCTTCGATTTTTCAACAAGTGCGAGTAAATTGCTGTTGATGCCAATTTCGGCGAATGACAAAACATTGTAGCGTTTGCCGTCGGAGAGTACTCTCGACTGACGAGAATTGGAATTGCTCGGCTTTATGTCGGGCGAATGGGGCGATTGAACCCAGGTCTCAGTATTGTTTGTGTCCCAGCACTGCCCTACAATACAGTTACTCGGGGTCTGGCACTATGACGAGCAACGGTGGCCTTCTTGTAGTTGTGTGGTATCATCCATTTGTCGGATCTGATTGTCGAGTAACAGGCAATATACACCGACAGCGACGATTTTATTTTCTGTATAGAGCCGCCTAAATGCCTCAGTGTAGGAATCCTTCGCTATGATGATCATCCTTTTGGCCACGTAACTCCTCATGGTAGAACTCGGACGGCTTCTCATCTGCATTCATACAAAATTGACGATTGTGAGTTTTGGCCCGGAGTCCAAGACCACCCATATTTCATCCAGGGCCGGGGTGCGTTTTCCGTGAATGACATCTCATGCTGAGAACATTACTGCTAGAGGCATGAATCGGTACCGGGTTCGTGCTTCTACAAGAAAATTAAGTACCCATGCGCACACCCTCTGACATCATCCAGTTTTTTTCTTGTGCAGGATGAACATTATGGGACCATCCACGACAACAAATTTTTTCCTTTCTTCCTTCTTCGGGCTCCTGAACCAAACCTTCCACCTCGTATATATCGAGAACGCCATTACTCTATCTGGTCTGGCGTCCGGTCGAATTTGAGCAGCGCACTTCCCTCTTATGACGCCTGATTTGAAAATCGGCGCTGATTTTCACCACTCGGGCTTCTTTCAATTTCTCGAGAACTTCCTCTGTGGGTAGGTTCGCCAAATTTCACAGATACACAGCGAAAGGTACAAGCCTCACAAAATGGTATATGTAGCTTGCGCTTCGCGGCTATCCCCTGGCTTGCTTTTCCTGGCCATTCCCTATATGTCACGGCACTTTTGGATGGATGACCTAATATATTTACTGGTCACCATTTACTGATGACTCGTTAGCGCTTCCAAAAAGGCAATAGATCAGATTCACGCAGGTTCTTGTCTTTATCATCCATTCTATTTGGCTTGCGTATAGAGTGCTGAACTGATAAACATGATAGCGGAAGTGGCTTGCGGTACCGCCCATCACGTGGCAGTCCAAGGGTCAAAGTTCTGGGTCAAAATCCGTGCGTGAACCAACCAAGCCTTCCATTTCTTCGCTTTTGGTTCATTGATATCAGACTCACCTTGAATCACAAACCGTTGACGGGCTCGTACGGTTGGGGTTCCAAGTAAATGGAATCGATACAACAGATCGCATTCAGAGTACAGCTACTTTGAAAGGAGGTAAAAACTCATGACGCATTCCAAGCAGGGAAATTTCACTCATCTAAGAAGTTTTTTCTACTGCAATTTCATCCTGCAATCCTATGCGATCGTATCGAATAGCCCAGTTTTTTTGTTCCCCCCGAATGACGGCCAGGTGATGGTCATTGTGACTGCAGCGGCCCATATCACGATAAATCAATCTCCTATTGAACGATCGGTCGGCCATTTCTTCTCTTTCAGCCGCCCACTTGCTGACGTAGTTCTGACAAATTACTTGTTTACCAGTTCTTTTTTATTGTAAAAAGAACCAGTTTCATGACGATTTCTGTGGCGTAACAGAACTGGTGCTTTTCACACCTTCACCGGTCGCCTCTCGCGTCGTCCACTTGTGCTCCTTTAACTTTCCTTTACACTGGACATCATTAGCCTTTGTGAGATGAATTTCTTTTGGTTCGGCTAGGGGGGAGGCACTTTGCACTTTCACTACTTCCCATGGACGTGTTCATTAGTTTGAAGAGTTGACAATTATCTTTACAAGAGACGTGTTCTCTACAAACGTTACCCGGTACACCGCCTTCCACAAGGCTTTCCCAGGTCTCCACTTGATGACTCGACAGGGAGATGTCTTATGGCAAGTAGTGAAAGTGCAAAATTTCCCCAAGCCGAGCTGAGTCAACGTCTTTTCTGTAGAGCTCGTTCGGGGTACCTCCATAGTGTAATATCTCTTTTATTAGGCGTGGATTTGATTTTTCTAATTTTTTGTCTTTATCATTTCTACGAGTCCAAGTCATTTTGTGGAGTGCGCCCTGTATTTGGCTCGCTCTTGGATTTGTGGGTACAAGAATGCTTGTTCGACATGAGCAGAGACTTACGGGGATACAAGGAACGTCCTGTCGTTGAGAAAATTCTTGCAAAATACGCCCCCTTCAAGATGTCCTCCCCTGCTGCAACCCTGCCTTCCCAATCCCTCATCCTACCTACAATACCGCAGTTCGCCCTAACTTCCTCCTTTTTCCCTCGACATTCTCATGGATTGCCAACCACTTTTTCACTTTTGATCGAGCGTAAGGGGGGAGTAGTACATACAGACTAGGAGCAACCAATAAAACGAGGTTTGAAAACGACTCTTCCCCTTCAGCTCGGACACGTGGATGGCCGAAAGGAACGCAAGCTACAGGAGGGGGGGGGGAAACGGAAAAGACACTTGGCCGAGTCCACATACCAGTAAAAGTCTACGGCAGCCAGAGAGAGAGTCGTGGATACGAGTACCAGGGCGGAAGATACCCAAGATGTTCCTCGATAAGCAGGAGCAGGCTCTCGTCCATCACCTTCATGTACACCAAAATATGAAGTCATCTCCAGTCGCAGCCTGACTGGAGAAGGCCTATGGAATTCACGTCACCTCCAAACAGCTGCGAAACT